CCCCCTCCCAATCCCCGCCCCCTCCAACCTATCCTGTGTGTTTCACCTGTCATCTCATCCAGCGTTAATCTCGTGTGATCTAGGCCTCGATATTTCAGACAATGACCCGGAGTTCCTGGTGGGGGTCCGGGGAATACAGAAGCCGCTCTGCTTCCACGTGGAGGGCAGCAACGATGACGTCATTCGACTGCTCCAAGACCCGGAAACAGGTCATTATTGACTTTGACTTTGCAGATTTTTCGTTTAGTTTAGTTTGAGTAAGCGTTAAACTGCACTTGCAACACAATATTATGGTCATTTAAGTGCCGAAGAGTAGAGGTTTTAGAAGAGAGTAAAAAAACACAAAATAATGATGAGAGGCGATAAGGACGACCGATTGATAGGAAAGAAGCAAATCACACAAGAGCACCCGCCAACCACCCACTGCGTTTTTTTCGTGAATAGGCAAAAGAATTGTCACAATAAGCATGGGGAGAGGGATAGTCACCACTAGTATGGGCATTATTATCAATCTGAACATTTCGTAACTTAGAATTACAAAGTTCAATCCAACATTTTTTGGGGGCCATTTTGAGTTACAAAGACCATGAGGTCAGAAATCAAAATATGTTATATCTGTTTTATCAAAATCGTAAGATTTTTCGGGGACACTATCAATTCAAAGAGTTGCATTCGAAATATCTTAACCATTTTCTGAAACTCAAATTTTTAACCCTCAAATTTCTCAAAACTAGATTCTGAGTGGACAGAACGTTTTAATTTTATTTTAGAGTAACGATTTGTAACACTACATAAATTCAATGGAACACACAAAAGAGATCTTAAAAAACAAAGCTTGAAAAAATTTATCAACGGTAAAATCTACACTGAACGAAGGACAAAATTGTCAGAAAGCACCTCCAGCCTCTTCACCAACAGAACAAACAACTCTGGATTCAGGCACCTCGAGGTACTCTTCAAAGCACTGTTTCTAGAATTCAGAAATCATCAGTAATTTATTTATAGAGGCACCAGCCATCCATGTCCTGGCGCTGTTTTAGCCAAAACTCAGCAATGTACATTCAAACAATGCAACAACAGTAATTAGATGTGACGCTTGGAAACATACATTATCTTTTACCTTTTACAATTTAGTTGTTTTTTTTATTTTGGCTTTAAATTTATTTATTATTTTATTTATTTATTTATTTTTTATTTTTTTTTGGGGGGGGGGGGTGATCACATTTGTAAATACTTCTGGAAGTTTCCTTTTGCGAGCATGATGTAACTTCATATTGGGTTAATAAACAACTGAAGTCTTTTCATTTTCTGTTTCCAATCAAATTAATCTTTTTGTCTGATTCTTTCTTTTTAAAAACAATTCTTTTCCAGGAGTAATCGTGAACGCCCGTCTATTCTACGACAACTTGTTGAACAAAACCTACCTGGGCGCCATCATGCTCGCCAAGGGGAACTTCCAGCTGATAGCCAAGCAGCGCTACGTCATGATCGACAACATCCGGCTCAACTGGAACGACATGACCTCCATGGACGTGCAGGGCAACCGGATCGTGGTCGGAGACAACATGGCCGCCGTCACTTTCCGGCGCCTTCAGATCACCCTGGTGGTCAAACGCCATTTCGCCACCGTCGACTCGGAGATGGACTACGACATGTTGGATGAGGACGACGCCTCCACGCGGGCCAGGAACACAGCCGGCGGAAGCGGAAGCAGAAATCGCGCCGACATCATGCCCTCGTCGGGAAATCAAGGTCAAGGTCGTGGTCAGGGTCAGGGTCAAAATCAAGGTCGGCGCCAGCCCACTAGCAGCGTGAACAGAGTGCTGTCCTCCAAGAGGCGGCGCAGTCTGCTGGTGCAGAATTTCTTCAACGTGAAGGAAGACAAGACGGTGCTGAGGAACCTGGTGGTGGAGGTGAACAACCACAACAACAAGCGGGCGGCCGGGGGGAGGAGGGAGGTCGGCGTGATGCTGGACGCTGAGACGCCCGAGGAGGGGAATGAAGGTTGGAGTTTATGTAGTAGTATCGTAGTATCGTAGTCTGAGTACTGGTACTTTCTTGTGCTCACTTTTACCCTTCCATTTGGAGAATGAAGGTTGGAGTTTGTGTAGTAGTATCATAGTCTGAGTACTTTCTCGTGCCTATCTGAGCACTTCTATGAGAGATTGAAGGTTGGAGTTTAGTACCATTATGTTTCAGTTTAGTTTTGGTAAGAGTGGGTGGGAACTGTTGGGAAGGATAAGTCAGGAACGCGGAACTATTGGTCAGTGTTGTTTTATGATGGGTCAAACACATGACCAGCGATCAACGCAGATAAGACAAGACTGATAGATAGCAACAACCAAGGGATAAAATTTTGTCTGCAGGCTGTGCAACTGCTCAAAGCCAAACAAAGAATTGTTTCGGGAAAAAAGGAAAAAAAAACACTGTTTCATTCTTTTAGAATAATATAACATCGTTCGAACATCATGAATCGTTTCCTGATTTTGTCAACGTTTAGAATTTGGATTAAGACAAAATATTTCGCGTGCACTTGCAACCGAAACCACTGCACTGAAAATAATTCAAAATATTGGCCTTGATCCATCTGAATCCTTAGTTTACGTGTGTTTACTTGTGTGATCCATCTGAATACATAGTACAATCTGTAATACTGTGAGTCCTAACTAAGTTACGAAGTTGTATAGTAAAGCGTTCATTTTCCCCCCACATCCTTTTGTCTCTCTTCTTTCAGACAGCGAAGAGCAGCAGCTCATGTCTATAACACAGCAGGGCCAGGCTCGAAAACGTCGCCGGATCCCCGGAAAGGAGGGAAGGAGAACTCACAGAACAGCATCCACAGAACAGTACAACAACAACAACAGCAACAACAACAACAACAACAACAACAACAACCAGCTGGTGTCGACAGATGACGTAGAGGGAGAGGAGAGCGTGGAGAAGAGAAAGAACAGAACTATATTTCTGGGCGTGTACATCGCCGACGCCAGGGGCTTCTCAAACCAGACCCATGGCTTGTTAGGTCAGTGGAGTTTATTTGATGATTATATTTGTTCTTCTTGATTTTTCTTTCTTTCTTTCTCTTTTTTTCTTTCTTTGTTACTTTCTTTCTTTGTTACTTTCTTTCTTTCTTTCTTTCTTTCTTTCTTTCTTTCTTTCTTTCTTTCTTTCTTTCTTCTTCTCTTTTTCTTTCTTTCTCTCTCTTTCTCCCTTTCTTTTTTAGGCTTTGTCTATCCCCCGTGGCGGTGCTACTGCCTAATATTGTCTTTAGGCCATTCCCAAAGGGGGAGGGGACATTAACATGTTCTTATGCCCAGTAGAATTGTAAATGGGCTGATTTATCATTGCCATGCTCATAACTGTGCCTGAACTGCAACAGGGAACTGCTATTTCCGGGGCGCCTTGATGGTCGAAGCAGACTTTGTGTTGTTGAAGCTAGAGCGAGAGGGGAGCAGAGTAAGCCTGATTCTCTGTTAAGACGTCTCTGTTGACATCCACACCTTGGCGCTCCTATGACCTTATGCAGTTGCGAGCGTTGAAAAAGAAACCAAAAGGCTTTGTCCGTCTACTGCAGGGTATAGCCCTCCAACAACGACATAGACTCTGTTCTATTAGCTGTTCTCTGTATCTGGTTCCTTTCTGTCCACTCTCTGATGTCATATTGCCACCTCCTTTCTGGTCTTCCTCATGATCATTTTCATGTTCTTGGTCTGCATTCAGTGCATGTTCTTATTTGTTTTTATGAATTATTTGCCCTGTCAGACAGGGTCGAATCAGTCCGTCTACTGTTGGATCTTATAATTGCTGCAATTGTGACGTAAAACATTAACAATTACAATTATATCATGACAGTGACAGAGGATCATTCGCATACAGAGAACGACATCATATATTTGAAAAGGTCCGTGAATACTATATTCTAAAATCTGCCATAAAACGAAAATTTCAATTAAATTGGATTTCCCCCAAAATCTTGGATCGTATGTCCCCAAAACAAGAAAAGAGTAACTGGGGAACCGTCAAACCCACCACTAGATTTATTGTTATCAGAAACTGTTATGTTGTTTAAAAAGATATTTCCACTTTCCTCCTCCCACCCCCCACCCCCTACCCCCTCTCAAGCCCTTTGATCGTGTTTCTAAATTCAGCTCATGTATCATCTATGCAAATAGATAACTAAAGAGTGAAACTTAGAGTAAGTCTAAAATATTGGTTTCTGGCTTTCTAGGTCAAAAATGCAACTCGTAATGTAACAGGCCGTAAAGACCAGAGAATTCTTTGGTCTAGTGTGACCTACCCCGGCACGGCTCAACACTTCTTGAATCAACAACTGTAGCTTGTAGCTAACTGAGGTCAATGTCTTGAAGTTTAACTCATACTCGACTCAAACCTAATCTCTCCAGGTCGTTGCAGAACCCCCACTCAAACAACCAAAATCATTTCTCGTCATTCTGGAATAAAAGACTACAACGGATAGATATTCAAAATCCTCCACGAAAGAAGAAAAGTTGATGCGAATCATCGACTGGGGTAACTGGGGGGGTCGTTATTTACAGAACCCCTCCCACACACCTACAATAATTTCTCGTCATTTTGGAATGAATTAAATAACTACAGCGGATGGGTATTCAAAATCTTTAACACTATGCCATTGAAAGGCTCATAATTATAATTTTTTAAAACCCTTGCCATCAAAGGCAAAGGCATTTTCTGGGAAAATCCAAAGAAACTGGGTGGTAAACAGCGCCAATCGGCAAAATGAGGCGGCAAAGAAAGAAGAGAATTACAAGAGAAATCCTCCACGATAAAAAGGAAGTTGTAGCAAATGGACTGGGGTCACTGGGGGCTCGTTACGTGTGGTGACCCCAGGCGGTGGGGTAATGGAGACTCGCGGACGTGGATGATGACAGGGAGAGGCATATACTGCGTGCTCAGATCAGAGACAAACGAGGGGCACTTAGGACACTTGGGACGTATACACCAGCTCACTCTCTCTCTCTCTTTCTCTCTTTCTCTCTCTCATTCTCTCTCTCTCTCTCACACAGACACACACACACACTCTCTCTCTCTCTCTCTCTCTCTCACACACACACACACACACACACACACACACACACACACACACACACACACAAATGCACTCTTCCCCTCTGCCCCTCCTCTTTTTTTCTCGAACGTATTCATCAGTGCGTCCCGATTATAAAAGGAGAAAATTTCTATAATATTTTGCTCCTAACAAAAACCAACATGTCGTTATAGAAAGAGTGGCTTGCCATTGAGGTAATTCATAAACAGATAGACTGCGCAGTAGATTCACTGATATGTCACGACATGGCAGAATCAGGCGATCGTAAATTTTGAGGCATACTTGGGAGTTATGCAAATGTAATCTTAATCTTAAACTTGTTCAATTGTCTTTCTTTTGATTAAAAAAAATAGGTGTCTATCTTGAATAGCAGTATTTACGACTGAATGAGTTTGGAGTTGCCTGGTGTCAGAGGTAAAATTTGGGAGAAAGTGGCCTCCAGAATTTGGTGATTTTCAAACCTTTGGTGTTCCTGGGGACACTGCCCCAAAACAGAGAGTCTTCAAACGTGGTCGTCGATGGTTGGCAGGTGCTCTGGTGTAGTTTGTTCCTTCTGTCCTACAAAACTACTTTCTTCCCTATCTCCTCCTTCTAGTAACTCCTCTGCGGTCTTCGGTGCTTATAATATAATTCTGTAGCAAGTCTTGTGAAACTTTCGTTAAGACAAAATCAAATACCTAAACAAAAACAAAATCTTAAACATAGGTCCTCGAATGACCAAAATGCTCGTTCTAGGTAAGTTATCTTATTTTCTTAATTTTTAAAAAAAATTGTTTTTTGTTTTGTTTCTGTTTATCTCTGAACAGGCCAGTTCCTGTACAAAAACGTGAGCCTGGAAAGAATCCGCTACAGAAACGGCCGCATGAAGGCGAGGCTACTCATCAACGGGAACCGGAGAACCCTGGCCCTGCTCACCCTCCGCCGGAACCTGGCCCTGAACACTACGCGCGCCTGCTGGAAGATCCGGCACCAGGGCCGTGACGTCGTAGACGGCTGGTACATGGACTATCTCGTGGAGAACCTGAGGAACTCTGAGATGAAGGAGATCCCACCATCGGCGCCCATATGACTAGAGCCGACCATCCCGCACCACGACTTCGACGATCTCATCTTCCAGGATAATGAAGGCGAGGAGAAAGTCTACGATTGGGGATTCTACAGAGAGACGGATGACGCAGGGGGGAATGCTGAGGTCGGCGGACCTGGTGGTGTTGGGAACAACGATGGTGGTGTTGGTGGTGGTGGTGATAATGGTGATGGTGGTGGTCTTGGTGTTGGTGTGGATAATCATGACAGTGACGTGTTCGGCCAAGGTCAAGGTGAAGTGCTTGGAGGTATCGAAAGTGGAGTCGGGCCGGGGTACAGGGGGTTTATAGGTGGAGGTGAGGAGGAGGAGGAGGAGGAGGAGGAGGAGGAGGAGCAGGTGGTGGTGGTGGGTACGGAGGAGGGAGCGGCTGGGGAGGAGGGGGAGCTGGAGGGGGAGGGGGAGGAGGGAGAGATGCTGGAGGAGGATACGGCGACAAGGCTCTCCACTCAAGCCCCTCACCCGCACTGGGCTACTTGTGTTTATGAGACTCATCACAGGACGCACACAGACATACAACACTAGCTAGATTTTGCCGCTCTTCTGTCCATATTATTATGTGTGGGTATGTAAGAAAAGGAGAGAGATAACGAGAGAGAGAGAGAGAGAGAGAGAGAGAGAGAGAGAGAGAGATAGAGAGATTGAGAGAGAGAGAGAGAGAGAGAGAGAGAGAGAGAGAGAGAGAGAGAGACTGGGCTACTTGCGTATATGAGACTCATCACAGGACGCACACAGACATACAACACTAGCTAGCCATTGTGTAGGCCAACTGGCGTTCTTCTGTCGATGTATGCTAAGAAAGAGAAGCAGATAAAGAAAAGGAGAGAGAGAGAGATAAATAGAGAGAGAGAGATAACGAGAGAGAGAGATAACGAGAGAGAGATAACGAGAGAGAGAGATAACGAGAGAGAGATAACGAGAGAGATAACGTGAGAGAGAGAAAGAGAGAGAGAGAGAGATAAAGAGAGAGAGAGAGAGAGTATAAATATGTGTATATGTGTGTGTATTGTGTATTTCTGTATTGGTGTGTCTGTGTGTATGTGTTTGTCTGTTTGTCTGTCTGTATGCATGTATACTGGAAGCACGTGTGATCAGTAAGAAGGACAAAAATATCTAACCCTTTTCTTCAAACTTCCTTCCCGTCTCCCCTTTTTTTTCTCTCTCTCCTCTTATATCAAAGAGAACACAAGTGTCTTGTTTTTTTATATTTCGAAAAGACACCGAGTATCGCTTGTATTCGTATTTTCCCCCCCCCCCCTTTCCTTCCTCCCCCCCCCCCCCCCTCCGTTTAAAGATTGTAACAAATATGTCTTGTAAAGAAACAAATCCGATGAATGTAACTGATATTATTAATGGTTTTACTGTGATTATGAATGTTCGATGTTTACAGAAATGTGAAGATGAGCCAATCGATTCATGCTTCATCATGATATCATGTTGGGTCATGATGCAGATTGTTTTGGTTCAGATCGCCAGTTTGGCATTCTTGAACTTGGGGGTTCTTAGAGAAGATTCCAAGGCTCTTTGCCTACTTAACTTGGATTGGAACCTATTGAAAATGGGGAGTTAAATTCGGAGGTCCCGTCTTTTAACCATATCCGTGCGTCGTGTTTTACGATCGTATCTATACGACGTGGGGAACTCTGTGCCACCACTTTTCAAAGAGGAAATTTACTGGTTTATCCGATCCGTACGCTTTGCATAGCAGTTTGTCAAAGCGATTTTTTTAGAAATACTGAACATTTCAAAGAGATCTTCGCACTAGAAGTATTCTAAAATGTGAAGAATATAACCTCAGGGGTACAAAATGACCCCAGGGCGTATGGATAGGATTAAATAATGGTACAACGTTGAAATGTTTGAAACACATACGCGAGCATTAGCGGAATTTGAAAGTCCATAGTGTAGAATATAGAATCTTTATCCAGCTGTTCCCCTTTGTTTGTTTTGTAGCATGATTTATCAGCTGTGGGCTTGCTAGGCCAGTCACGGTTTCACCAGAACCCATTTTGCCCTCAACGTTTCGATCGACGGTGTCAAGGAAACCCTCAGAAAACATACTATCACAACTGAAAGAGCTGTGGAGTTGGCCTACCATAGAAAACGGCATCTCCCTTCGACTCTTAACGGCAACAGAGGATGAGAAAGTAAAGTAAAGTAAGATCCAACTGTTCCAATGTAAAGTAAAAGTAAAGTTGTTCCCGCATTCGATCCGGACATTGGGGGTTGCCTTGTTAGTGAGACAACTTCCTGGGCCTTCAGCATATTGTGGTAGGGTGGCCAGTTCCTTTCCACGCCGCCTCTACTTCCCCAACTGGAAGTCCGGTACCCATTACTGCTGGGTGGGCAGGAGGGGAAAAAAATCTTTTCCGAACCGAAGATGGAACTGAGGCTCGAACCCGGACTTTCCGGATCGGAGACGAGCGCACTAACCGCTCCGCCACCGTACCCTGTTCAAAATATGTACTGAGCCCAAACTGTTCAATCTTCCTTATTGTTGTATGCATGCAGTTTATGTGACCTCGGCTGCGTGTGCTCAGGAAATATTTCTTCCAAATTTCAATTCTAAATTTTGAGAAAACAAAAATAAAATAGCAAGAAAAAACATACATAATGCATGAGTAATTTTTAAAGAATTAAACAGTTTTCTCTCTCTCTCTCTCTCTCTCT